AGCAAGAATTATCCGTGTCTCAATCGTTTGTATGTTTTTCATAATAAAAGTGAAAATAAGACAATGAAAAAACAACTGTTTTCTTCATTATTTGTCTCCAAAACCAAAATGAAAATATTAATAACGATTAGATTTTTCAGTTTTCTGTTTTGTGTTTAAATTAATTTCTGTGACTTTAACTGCGATGTCGGACTTTTGCGCCGCATACGGACTGAACCAGAAGTAAACCAGGAGTAATAACAGGACTGATCCCAGGAATGAACCAGGACTAAAACAGGACTGAACCAGGACTAAACCAGGACTAAACCAGGACTAAACCAGGACTAAACCAGGACTAAACCAGGACACTAAAACCAGGACTAAACCAGGACTACACCAGGTCTACACTAGGATTAAACCAGGACTAATCCAGGACTACGCCAGGACTACGCCAAGACTAAAACAGGACTATGCCAGGACTAAACCAGGTCTAAACCAGGTCTACCTAATAAACGGACAGGACTAACCAGGACTACAGGTCTACACCAGGTCTACACTAGGATTAAACCAGGACTAAACCAGGTCTACACCAGGTCTACACTAGGATTAAACCAGGACTAAACCAGGACTAACCAGGACTACACCAGGACTTAAACCAGGACTAATCCAGGACTACGCCAGGACTACGCCAAGACTAAAACAGGACTATGCCAGGACTAAAACAGGTCTAAACCAGGTCTACACTAGGATTAAACCAGGACTAAACCAGGACTAAACCAGGACTACACCAGACTAACACAGGGTCTACACAGGACTAAACCAGGACTAAAACAGGTCTACCAGGTCTACCAGGACTAAACCAGGACTAAAACAGGACTAGGACTAAAACCCAGGTCTACAGACAAGGTAAACAGACTAAAGGACTAGCAGGACTACGCCAAGACTAAAACAGGACTATGCCAGGACTAAAACAGGTCTAAACCAGGTCTAAACCAGGTCTACACAGGTTAAACCAGGACTAAACAGGACCTAAACCAGGACTAAACAGGACTAAACACTACACCAGGTCTACACTAGGATTAAACCAGGTCTAAACCAGGACTAAACCAGGACTAACAGACTAAACCAGGACTAAACCAGGACTACGCCAGGACTAAAACTGGACTAAACCAGGTCTAAGCCAGGTCTAAACCAGGTCTAAACCAGGTCTAAACCAGGACTAAACCAGGACTTGAGAAAGAGAGAGACCGGACCCCGATTCCGAGGAGCAGAGTGTCCACAAATCTTGATCGGGCGACGGCTCCGAATCGTTATCCGCTTTTTTCATTTTGATTTTGGAGACAAATAATGAAGAAAATAGTTGTTTTTTTCGCTTTCTTAGTTTTTAGTTTTATTTTGAAAAACAAATAAACGATTGCAAGATTAAAAACACAAACTTTTTGCTATAAAAACACCTGTAACTGAATAGGTGGAATGTAGATTTAATGCCATACTATGGAACATTCCAGGCAATACTGTCGACTGAATTCCAAACAAATGTGACATACTTGAACCATAAAAGTCTCATGGTTCTCGTTCTGTTTTGACTGTTGTGATCTCGGTGCAGTTTAACATAAAATAAAAAAAAATGTGAATCTGAAATCTTTGGGGTTTCATGTGTCCCTCTTTTTTTCCCGGGCCTTGAAAGCAGCACGCTCCTCACAGGGCCTTGGACGTGTTGCGAGGAGAGTTAGCGCTCGACTGAAACCGTGAGCGACGCGGGTTACAGCTGTAAGAGCGGAGCAGGCGGCGCAGGCTCGTCACTCACGTCAAGTCAAAACAGCACGACGTTTCAGCTCTAAAACACTTCCTGGTTAAAAGGGATTACCACCTAATGACATCAGCAGGTGGACCAGGGTGTTCTCAGCTCTGGAGAAACAGACATATTTTTATTCAAACGTGGGTGATTGAAATAAAACGCATCTTCGGGTTTTTTTTTTTTTTTAGGAATATTGGCTCTTTAAAACATGAACCCATGTATCGTTCGTTCGTTTTTCAAAATAAAAAAAATAAAAATTTCTTCATTATTTGTCTGCAAAACCAAAATGAAAAAACAGATAATCATTCGTTTTTTTTTAGTTTTCCATTTTGTGTTCAAATGAAAAATGGAAAAACGGTCCTTGTTCAGTCCTGGTTTAGTCCTGGTTTAGTCCTGGTTTAGTCCTGGTTTAGTCCTGGTTTAGTCCTGGTTTAGTACTGACACTGGGACCAGACCAGGACTGGATCAGGACCAGAACTGAGACCGGGACTTTGACCGGGACCAGACCAGGACTGAGACTGGAACTGACACCGGGACCAGAGCAGGACTGGATCAGGACCAGGACTGAGATTGGGACTGAGACCGGGACCTGGATCAGGACCAGACCAGGACCGAGACCGAGACTAGGATCAGGACTGAGACCGGGACAAGACCAGGACTGAGACTGGAACCAGACCAGGCCCAGGATCAGGACTGACACCGGGACTGAGACTGGGACTGAGACCAGGACTGAGACCAGGACTGAGACAACTGGTTTAGACCTGGTTTAGACCTGGTTTAGACCTGGTTTAGACCTGGTTTAGACCTGGTTTAGTCCTGGTTTAGTCCTGGTTCAGTCCTGGTTTAGTCCTGGTTCAGTCCTGGTTCAGTCCTGGTTCAGTCCTGGTTCAGTCCTGGTTCAGTCCTGGTTCAGTCTGTACGGGGCAAAAGCCACGTAAACGGGAAATATCCATTATCCGTTTTTTCCATTATTCATTTAAACACAAAATCAAAAATTGAAAAAAAAAAAACCCAAATCATTATCATTTTATTGTATATATATTTTTTTTTTCCATTTTGGTTTTGGAGACAAATAATTTTTCGTTTTCTTATTTTCTGGTTTTACTTTGAAAAACAAATGAACAAATGACACACGGATTGAGGAGCCTCCAACCTGTCGCTGAGAAATTTACAGCGCACGTTTTGTCCTTACCTCACATTTGATGAATTAAACGCCTCTTATTATTGTAAATCCATCTTTCATAAATAAAAATAAATAAATTATACATTTGACGAGAGTATTTGGAAATAAAACAAAACTGTAAATTGAAATTGTAGTTGTAGTGTGACCAGCCTGCTCGTCCTGCGCGGTTTGACTGAAGACTCATTCACCATCATGCTGTTAATGTGCAATAGTTCCACATTAGTTCCACATTAGTTCCACATTAGTTCCACATTAGTTCCACATTAGTTCCACATTAGTTAACATCAGCATTAGTCACTCAAACCGGGTTGAATCATGCAGCTAACCCCGTGTTCTAGTTCCTCTGAGCCCTCGCTACACCTGCACATGTGCACGATCAGACTACTCCAGGTACGAGAACGTGAAGACTTTTAATTAATCGCTAAAATTTGTGACAGTTTTTATTCAGAAATGGGACAAACTGGGAAATACAAAAGTAGAAATGTAAATGTGGTGTTAAATGTCGATACATTTTTTAAAATGTGTGATTTACAGGTGCACCGTCTGCTTGTCTAGGGCAGAAGTATTGTGACTTTTCGTGTAATGTTCCGCAGTATGGGATTATTTTAGCTCCGTGGAGACGAGCAAGTGGCGTCCCCAGGTAAAGTTACAGGTCAGATCTGGGGAGAGGTGAACGTGCTTAAGTTATATTTAGTCATAAAACTGTGGGCTTGTTCGTGTAAGCAAGAAAGTCTGATTATAATCGGATTTCTGAGCCGTTATGAACACCTCAACCCGCGGGCCGTGGAGCAGTGCCGGGAAAACCAGACTAAACCAGGACTAAAATCAGTTCTAAACTAAGTCTAAACCAGGTCTAAACCAGGTCTAAACCATAACTTAAACCACAACTAAAATCATGAGTAAAACCAAGACTAAACTCAGTTCTACACCAAGTTTAAACTAGGTCTAAAACCAAGACTTAACCAGAACTAAACCAGAACTAAAACCGGGACTAAAATCAGTTCTAAACCAGGTCTAAACTAGAACTAAAACCAGAACTAAAGCCAGGACTAACTCAGTTCTAACCCAGTTCTAAACCTGGAACTAAAACCAGGACTAAACCAGGACTAAAGTCAGTTCTAAACCAGGTCTAAACCAAGGTCTAAACCAAGGTCTAAAACCAGGACTAAAATCAGTTCTAAACCAGGTCTAAACCAGAACTGAAACCAGGACTAAAATCAGAACTAAACTAGAACTAAAACCATGACTAAACCAAAAGTAAAACCAGTTCTAAACCAGCACTAAACCAGGTCTAAAACCAGAACTAAAACTAGGACTAATCCAAGACTAAAATAAGTTCTAAACCAGGTCTAAACCAGAACTAAACTAGAACTAAACTAAGTCTAAAACCAGGACTAAACCAGGACTAAAACTAGTTCTAAACCAGTGCTAGAACTAGTTCTAAACCAGTACTAAACCAGGACTAAACTAGGACTAAAACTAGTTCTAAACCAGGACTAAACCAGGACTAAACTAGGACTAAAACTAGGACTATACCAGGTCAAAACCAGGGCTAAAACCAGAACTAAACCAGATCTAAAACCAGGACTAAAACAGGATTTAACGAGGACTAAACCACGCTGCCCGGACTCCTATCTGCCTCTGGTCCGTGAAAATATTTTCCCAAAAAGTCCCTCCTCCTGGTCAGCGAAATATTGTCGGACATAAAACCCTCCGTGCCTCAAAAAAGGTTGGGGACCACTGACATAAATGACACGCACATGGATAAGATTAATTCCATACTGCGGAACATTTGAGGCAATACAATAACTTCTCCTCAGACACGAGCGCATGGTTCAGAAAGGCTACAGAGTGAATCTTTAAGCTCGTCTCTATGCCATTATGAATTTCACATTTTTTGGTCAGTTTTAGTCAGACTTTGTCCCAGTTCTGACATACTGTGAGACATGATTGACAGAGAGCCCACTTCTACTCCCACACCTCTATGGAGCTACTGCGTAAACCCGTCCCGCACGCGAGGACGCGGGACGGAGCACTCACCCCTCTGTCTCGAGATTTGGCGTTGAACTTGACCGTTTTTAACCGCGCCCTCTCCTTCTTCTCCACCCTGAGCAGGAAACACAAGGAAACATCTTATTTGAAAACTTTCAGACACCGTGGCATTTGATTTTACATTAGGGATGGGCATTCGATGAAATGTTCTTAATTGATCGTCGGAAGAATTAACGATCGATTAATCATTAACGTTTTTATATTAAAATGATCATCATTATTATTACTATCTGCACTACTAATCTGCATAAATAAATTCAACTTTACGACATATAAACCGTAACGACTCTAGAGCCACATCAGCCCGTTTGACATTATAATGTGTTTAATTCAGTTTTGCGCAACTCTCACAGAAACGAAACTTAAAACCGCATCGCTAATTTGCATAAACTAAGCGAAGATAAAACTACAGTTCTTGTGTCGCTGATGTGGTTCAATTTCTGTCGGATTAAAAGACACGACTCAGGTGAATACAGGTTAGTGTGACCAGATTTGCGTTTGTCAAAACCAGGACAGCGTACGGGGGGAGGGAGGTGGGGACTCGTCATCGACATTGAGCGACTCTCACCTGGTAAAACTTTTTCCCACTGGACACAGAAACATATGTGCTGCTTTATACACTGTGCACATGGACTCACACTTGTCCCGAACACAACGGAAAGTGTGAAATTTCTTGTACAAATCATCGTTAAATATGCATTTGTGCTTTAGTACGTTGCAGACTGACCGACTGTTGTGTTTGTTCGCTCCTTCTGAGTGCAGAGAACTACATGTACGGACCCCTGACATTCCGTTTGTCGATTAAAATTAACGTAATCGATGAAATTCTTAATGATCAATTATCGATTAATCGATTAATCATGCCCATCCCTATTTTACATGCTGTCGTTTTAATTCAATGTACAGTATAAAGTATTTTTAACATTTGTATATTGTCAGGAGCAACAGTACGACCATCCTCTGTTGGAAGCACCATATGGAAGAAATTAAACTTTAAAACACATTAAAAACAGTCAACGTTCAGATTTTTTTGTGAAATTGTTCATATTTCCATGGAGGGAAAGCGAGGTGAGTGAGTTTATTAATATCTGGGGGTTCATTTTTACGAAGAACTGGACTGTATTTTAGGAGACAAGCCCAGCGTTTAGGCGACTTTAGTAAACGCTCGCTGTGAGTGACGCCGTCGTGTCCTGCAAAGCTCATGCGAGACACTTCTGGGTCCAAGTCACATTTCGGTTTCATACGTTTTTATTCATGTGCAAACCGATATAGACATGTCATTCAAACAACACATGTACACACACTTTTTTCATTTTTATGCAGATAAAACATAACAAAAACAAATCACTCAAGAAATAGGTGTAGCGTCATATAATAATAATAATAATAATAATAATAATAATAATAGAATGATAAAAAAATACGCTGCTACTAATATTAATAACAAATACAAAATAAAATAAATAATATAATAAAATAACAATTAAAGAAATATATAATAATAATAATAATAATAATAATAAAGAAGGGGTGGGGTAGGTGGTTGGTTTAGACTGTTTTAAAAAAGTCAATAAATGGCTGCCACAAGTCACATTTAATTGGAATTGTGAACGACCAATTTACGAAAAAAAAAAAATCGTATTTCACAAAAAGATCTGAAATTCTGAACGTAACCTAAATATCCTGAATACTGAAATGAAGTTGGTAACAATAACGATGTCTTTTAAGTATATGATTTGAACCACAAGGACTCGCCCAGACTAATCCAGGACCACATCATGTTAGGGTTAGGGTTAGTGTTGTTGTGCCCTTTGGCAAAACACACAGCAATATGCCTAATATAAATGCAGTGTGTGTGATTATTGGTGGTGGTTGGTGGAGATTGGAAGTGTGGCCACAAAAATATCTTGCCAATGTGGAATAAATTAACTCACAGAACTGTAAAGTGACTGTAAAAGTGCTGTGTAAAGACTAAACCAGACTAAACCAGGTCTAAACCAGGTCTAAACCAGGACTAAACCAGGACTAAACCAGGACTAAACCAGGTCTAAACCAGGTCTAAACCAGGACTAAACAGGTCTAAACCAGGTCTAAACCAGGACTAAACCAGGACCAGGAAACCAGGACTAAACTAAACCAGGACTAAACCAGGACTAAACCAGGACTAAACCAGGTCTAAACTAAACAGGACTAAACCAGGTCTAAACCAGGAAACCAGGTAAACCAGGTCTAAACCAGGACTAAAACCAGGTAAACCAGGACTAAACCAGGACTAAACCAGGACTAAACCAGGACTAAACCAGGACTAAACCAGGTAAACTAAACCAGGACTAAACCAGGACTAAACCAGGTCTAAACCAGGAAACCAGGACTAAACTAAACAAGGACTAAACCAGGACTAAACCAGGAGGACTAAACCAGGTCTAAACCAGGACTAAACGGACTAAACCAGGACTAAACCAGGACTAAACAGGACTAAACCAGGTCTAAACAAAGACTAAACCAGGACTGAAGCAGGACTAAACCAGGACTAAACAAGGACTAAACCAGGACTAAACCAGGACCAAACAAGGACTAAACAAGGACTAAACCAGGACTAAACAAGGACTAAACCAGGTCTAAACAAGGACTAAACCAGGACTGAAGCAGGACTAAACCAGGACTCAGACCCCCTCTCACCGTCTCTTGCTGGGGATGACGCCCACCTCCTCGGCCTCCCCCTGGCTGCTCAGGTGCCTCGCCTGCCACCACTCGTCGTCGGAGGCGTTGACCACGTGGAGGATGTCTCCGAACCTGAAGTCCAGACCCTGACTGGGCAGACCCGAGTCCCGAGACTTATCGTAGTCAAACAGAGCCCTGAGGGGGAGAGCGAGGGGAAACAGAGTGACCCACTATTTACACACAAGCAGCACACGCACAGGTTGGTTTTACATTTTAACCGGTCGCACAGTCTACTCCAGCAGTGTCCAACAGCTGTCATGATGCTCAAATCAGTTTGGAGTTCTAATTTTGCAGCGTCAACAAAGCGACTCCAGGCTTTTTAGCAAGGAGAAAGACAGGAAATGGGCGCGCAGTGTCAAAATAAACTTCCGATGCCCTTTCAAAATAAGTTCTCTAAAACCACAGCAGTCGAGTCAACACCGTGTGTCGTATCCAGGAGCTCGGGGAATGACTCATGATGGAAAGTTTTCAGCCGTAGAGGATAAATATAAAACACTTTATGACACCAGACAGAAACTTTACAAAAACAACTTCTGACGGAAAAGATGCAGACGAAAATGCAGAAGTGAAATGGAAAGTAGTTTAATTAATATAGGGCTTGTTATCACTGCAAAGTATCTTCTCTCTTGTCATCAACCTTTGGATGAATTATGTTTTAAATCACAATACAATCAACAATTAATACATAAACAACGTAAAAAGTTTAGTGTTTAAACGTGAGAATCCGCAAAGGCTGGCATCACAGGAGCAGCTCTGTGTTTCTGGTGTAAACTGAAGCTTTAAAAAGTACGAGTGTATGCAGCTCTGCCTACGTTACGTGCTGCTGATGCTCCTGGTCTAAATTCAGGGTGACAGAGGACGTGTCTGTGTTTGAGCTGCTTTAAACAGAGTTCTGACCCACAATGTGAAAAAGCAAACTGTCATCCAGACAATTTATAAACCAGGATGTCCAACCTACAACCCTCAGACTAATTTTTGATGTTAGTACTACTTTCTTTTCTGCTCCTTCTCCGATCTTTGTGTGCGTGTTTTGTGTGTGTTTTGTGTGTGTGTTGTGTGTGTGTATTGTGTGTTTACCTGACGTAGAGCGACCTCTTCTGGCTGGTGCGCAGAGAGCCGGAGCCCGAGCTGATGCTGCTGTTCATCATCTGCTCCCTCAGGTCGTGGATCTTAGCCTCGAAACGGCTGTACTCTAAACATACATAAACACACATGTAAACACAAACACGCACACATTTCTGTTGGACTGACATAGTTATTGGGATACTCCTAACAAATGCCTCTAGTTTGGGTTAGTTTAGGTTTTCCTCATAATAAATAAACACACAAATAATGTATAAAAGAAGTTGAAGCATCGTCCTCTCCCCGTTTCTCATATACCGTATTTTCCTCATTATAGGGTGCACTTAAAAGCCTTTAATTTCATAAAAAAACGACTGCACACCTTATAATCCAGAGCTCCTTATATATGAATTTATTTGAGTGTCTTAGTACGACTTTAGTAAACTACAAAGCCGCACCACTTGCAGCATTACGGCGACCGTAGTCAGGAGCATTGTGGAGTAATACATACTGTGATTAATTTTAATATCGAAATGCACCTGTCAAGAGACACACTGACAACGTCCACTTTAAACTCAAGGCTGTTATAAAGTTAAAGTGCGAGCTGCGTGGGAGCAGTGGATGAGAGAAGAACACACATTCACCGAGACAGGGAGACAGCGCCGAGCGACTTACGCCACGATCTGCCAACGGATCGTGGACACCTGGGCTAAGGATCAGAATCAACTGTGGTCCGAGCTTTCACCAAGACCAGAATCATCACTGAACTGCCAGGGAACAGTAACCACACTGACTCGGATAATGACGAGAGGGATATGGACGTGCTGGACGCCGTAATCACCCAACTGTTTGAACAATTATGAGTTATTGTGAATATTCTAGCAATTTATCGTCTCAGACTGTACCGTATTTTCCGGGCTATTAGGCGCTCTGTCATTAAATTGTCTATTTTTTTAACTTTTTTCACAAATAAACCTCACCGGACTTTAAATGAAACACAACAGTTGGATGGGTGAGTGGTTTTGTTTGTTTGTGGCGTTCACGGTGACTCTGGGCTTTGTTCAGTTGTGGCGTGTAGGGAGGTGCTGTCTGGGACCAACGGATTGTCGGCATATTCGCAGTGACTCAGTTGTTCAGTCGTGTCTAGAAGCGGCACGTTGCACTCGCTTTTTCGGTTCGTTCCTCCGTTCCGTTCCTCGTCGGCGTGGAGTGATGAGTGTGTCTGTGGGTGTGTTTCGCTGTGCGGTCGCTGTCTGCTCCGTGTGTGTTTGCGTGCCCTGCGGGTGGTGCGGCTTTGTAGTTTACTGAAGTCGTGCAGGGACACCCGAGTGGATTCGTGTATGGGGCGCTCTGGATTGCGGGGCGCGCGGTCGTTTTTTGATGGGGTTAGAGGCTTAATAAAGCATCTAATACCCCAGAAAATACAGTACTTTTTTAAGTGTTGCAATTGAACAAAGTTGAGTGTTATTGTGAACTCGTTAAATAAAGTTTGACTGACTTATCTAACTGTTGTGTTTCGTTTAATGCACCTTATAGTCCGGTGCGGTTTATATGTGAAAAAAGTTCAAAAATAGACCATTTAATGACAGTGCGCCTTATAATCCAGAGCGCCCTATAGTGCAGAAAAAAATACAGTACATGTGTCGCGCGTGTGTGTGTGTTCGTACCCTCTGGTCTGTACTGAGCCATGATGGTGACCGTCTGCCCGGCGTTCTTCAGAGCTGCCGCCGCCTGCTCGTGTGTGGCCCCGCGCAGGTCCACTCCGTTCACCTGCACACAAACACACACAAACAAACAAACACACACACGATAAAGCTGGTGGAACATGTGTATATACTGACATAACAGTCTGAGATGCCAACAGTTAAAGGGGCCTATAATGTTAACCATTTTAACAGTGTTCTCTTATTAACTGCTTGGATTGATTCATGTGTGTTTGGTTAATGCTTTGCGGGATTTGAGGTTTGTTTTTTTTCTTTTCAGCGCAATTCTCAACTAATGAATCTTCTAGTATCAAGTCATTTTAGATCAATAATGTGGTTTACAATGATCAAAATGAAAAAGCACAACACTGTCTTCTGTAATATTGTTTCTGTTGTAAAATCAGAACCGCGTATTTTTCAGCCCTGGCCCCGTACCGAGACGAGACGGTCGCCCTTGCGCAGCTCTCCGCACAGATCGGCCGGACCTCCAGCCAGGATGAAGGAGATGAAGATGCCCTCCCCGTCCTCTCCTCCCACGATGTTGAAGCCCAGACCTGTGGCCCCGCGCTGCAGAACGATCTTCCTGGGCTCTCTGCAACAACAAACACCGTAAACAGTCGATATTTTGGAAAGGCGAATATAATTGTAGATTGGACACGTTTCTGCTTTTAAAATACCTTGACAAGATTTTCGTGTGAATTATTTCCGTCATAATCCCAAGAATTCAAGTAAAAACATATTTATTCATGTTGTCTGCGCTGAAATGAATCATGGGAGATGTAGTTCCCAGTGTTTATGAGCTGTTAAAACCATGAATTTAAGTAAAGGAACTTGTAATTTGATATATTGTGACAGTCCACGATATTATTGTGAGACTTTTGACGATACTTTTGTTACCGTTTACATTCCTACTCATCACTGTCATTATAAATTAACCAAAGATTCAATGGTAAAGAAGTTGTTATCAGGTTTCAGCCAAGATGGTTATAATCATTAAAGGAACTGTAAGCACCCTGCACTTTTACCGCTTTAAAAACATTTACCCTGCATACAGAGGACACATGCGGACAAGTTTGTCTCTTTCTCAGTATGTGGACAAGCCTCATGTGAAAGCTCAAAACCTCCAGAACTCCCTCACTGAGCTACAAAAGCTGCACTAGCATTTGTGATTGAATTGCTGGGCTGAGGTTTAGGTAATGACCCTTCAGGCAACCCAAATCAGACACTCGTGAGGCTCATTCTGCTCTCTGATTGGATATTATCATATTTTTCAGACTATAAGGCTCACTTAAAATCCTTTAATTTTCTCAAAAATTGACAGTGCGCCTTATATATTAATTCTGGTTGTGCTTACTGACCTTCAACCGAATTTATGTGGGACACGGTGCTCAAAAATCTGTCAAAATGTCCCTCTGTCATAGAAAAAATGCACATATTCCACTGAGTCGTGTCCTTTAGTCCGACAGAAGCTGAACTGCATCATCGCACACGAGTGATCTGTTTTTTCAGTGCTTATAGTTTATGCAAATGAGCCATGTGGTTTTAAGTTTTGTTTCTGTAAAACGTAAACAAATGTGCGCAAAGCTGCATTAAACACATTATTACTCAATGTATATTTGAGTCGTCTTTGTAGAAAATTTAAAAAATTATAAAATAAAATGATCCGCCCACATTCACATTCAAAACACACATTCACCACGACAGGGAGGCAACGCTGGACGAGTTACGCCACGATCTGCCAATGGATCGTGGACTCCTGGGCTAAGGATCAGTCTCAAGTGTCGCCTGTTTGCTTCGCTTAACGTGCCTTAAAATCCGGTGCGCCTTATGTATGAAAATAGACGAGAGAATTCAACATTATTGACATTGCGCCTTATAATCTGGTGCACCTTATAGTCTGAAAAATACGTTAGTCTTGTGAACCAAAAAACAAAGTCTCTAGGTCATGTTTTTGAAATCTTACACAGAGTTCCTTTAAGGATGTATTAGAGACCAGATTTATCAGTTAGTACTGGTGACCCACCTGGTGACATCATTGTCCCCCACAATGCCTTTGGGCGTCGGGGAGAAGCGTCCTGAGGGGGCAGGAGGCGGCGGCGGCTGCACCAGGAAGTTCTGTCCGATATGGTTTTCTGTGTGCGGCTGAGAGAAGGCTGAGGACACAGAGAAGAGGGTCAGACATGGGGTTGAGTCAAGAATCTTATCCAAAGACTGAATAATTAAAAAATTGAGTGTAACGGTACATGTACTTGTGCTGAACCGTTTCAGTTCGGGACGTTCGGTTTGGTGCAGGGCTGTGCAATTTGTGTGTGTTTACATTTCGCCACTACATGTGCAGCTACACAGAAGGCTCGGCTCTTTAATATTCATGAGGGAACTCGTCTGTGATTGGGGGTGTCAGTGTTTCCCTCAGCGCTTTATAGTTAGGGCGGCCACCTTCACAACAATTGCCCCCCGTTTGTTAAGCGAGAGGTACAGAAGACAAACAGACTGAGCTCGCACTTTCTTGTTCGACTTTACAGCAACGTTACATCTTGGTCGCTTCGCAGTGGAAGGTGTTTCTTGGCGAACAGCTGGTGCTTTTCGCTTTGGCGTTTACTTTTTTAAATGTATAGTTAGGGCGGCTACCTTCACAACAATTGCCCCCCGCCTTGACTATGTCCTTCCGAACCACATGAATCCTCGCAAAAGTACGGTTTTCACGTCCCGGTCCTCAATTTCACCTTTCACCAGAGCGGAATTGAACCGTGATTTTTGTGTACTGTTACACCCCTTTAAAAAAGTGTTTAAAACTCTTCTAACATGTCTTAAAAACATGAAAAACAGAACTACTCATTATTTCATTTTAAACAGTTTGCAGGGGTCCAAAGTTATTTCTCACTGACCTCATGCATTCTGAGCATTTTAACTATTGTCAGCAATGAGTTCATAAACACTTTTCACAACTTTCAGAGGCCAGAGCCGAGTTTTGCCATCACAGTAAAGCTGGCAACAACTAGTATGCTAACATGTACTTCCTATCCTGGCCTCAGCAGCTGTTTATATAATATATCTGAACTGGGGCAACACAAATTTTGCTCAGATACACATTTTCCACGTTGCTTGCTCTTACAGGTGGTGATGTCCGGCGGGGCGTAGCTGTCGTTGATGAAGACACTGTTGGGTTTGGCCACCTTCAGGTACACCACGTCCGGAGTGTTCTTCAGGGCCGTGACGGCGTGCTCGTGGGTCACCTCCTCCAGACACGAGCTGTTCACCTGAAACAATACAACACAATCACAACAACACGCTCAGGGGCTGCACTGATCAAACTTTTTCTGTTCCGACGTCGATACTTTGGCTTTAATTATTTGCCGATACTTGACACAAACTTGTACCGTATATTCCGCACTATAGGGCGCATTTAAAAGCCTTTAATTTCATCAAAAAACAACTGCGTGCCTTATAATCCATGTTTTTCCGTGGCGTAACGACAGACAGATGACAAAAAAGCCGGCAGCAGCTGAAGTGTGCGTTTTCTTCCCGTCGACGTAAATACGTTCATGTCTCTGTCCAATCAGAACCCTTCCCCTCCCCCAGACGTTCAGCGGAATTAAATTAAAAGACGATTTATCAGGTTTTCCATGTAAACCTCAATTCAGAATTATAACGTCCATGTAAACGCTAAGCAGAATATTTTAATTCCAAACTATTTAATTCAGAACAATCCATTCGGAATTAAAAAACATCATGTAAACGTGGCCAATAAATCAGGATAATCCCAGTAAACTATAAATATACAGTGTCATTAAAAGACACGAGTTGCAACAAATAAAAAAAAATAATTCGCCATAGAACTTATTGACCGGTATAGTAATTATAGTGACAAATGCTGGGTCTGTGGTAGTGTCCAGACTAGAGGACACTAAGCTCTGATGTAGACGTAGGACAGAGGACAGGGGACGGAGGACGGGGAGACATCCTTACCGCGAGCAGCTTGTCCCCGATCTGCAGGCGTCCGTCCTTGTGCGCGGCTCCGCCCTCGATGATCTTGGTGACGTAGATGCTGTTGTCTCCGGGAATGTGCTGGTTCCCCACTCCCCCCGCGATGCTGAAGCCCAGACCTGAACACACACACAGACACACACACAGACACACACAGACACAGACACACACAGAGACACACACACACAGAGACACACACACACAGAGACACACAGACACACACAGAGAGACACACACACAGAGACACACACACAGACACACACACACAGACACACACAGACAGAGACACACACAGACACACACACAGACACACAGAGACACACACACACACAGACACACACACACAGAGACACACACAGACACACACACACACACACACACACACACACGAGACACACACACAGACACACACACACACAGAGACACACACACAGACACACACACACACACAGAGACACACAGAGACACACACACACAGAGACACACACACAGAGACAGACACAGACACACACACAGACACACACACACACACACACAGAGACACACACACACAGAGACAGACACAGAGACAGACACAGAGACACACACACAGAGACACACACAGAGACACACACAGAGACACACAGACACACACACACAGAGACAGACACAGAGACAGACACACAGAGACACACACACAGAGACACACACACAGAGACACACACAGACACACACAGACACACACACACAGAGACACACACAGACACACAGACACACACACACACACAGATACATGGTCATTTTGGGGTTTTTTGCGTGATGAAGGTCTAGGGCCGAAACGTTCGACTGTACGTCCTAATAAATCTCATATTTTGCAAGTAGGACAGTGTGTGGGATTTTTCTCTATAGTCTGTTTTTGGCTAAAAAGTTACATACTGTGACTTTAACGCAACAAAAGTTTATCATCACACATAAATGTTTTAAGACTGACATACAAATTGTAAAATATATCCAGTATTTTCAATCAGCAAAGGCACCTTGAACCCAGAAGTAACATCACACTGTCCATGTTGATATTTTGGCTGTAAGTATTTGCCAATACTTGATATTAGGGATGGGCATTTAATAAAATTTTCATTGGGAAATTGAACAATCGATTTACGATTAATCATTAAAGTTTTTATGTTAAAATGATGATCATTATTATTACTATTACTAATCTGCAAAAATAAACTAAACTTTACAACATATAAACCAGAACCACTGTAGAGCCACATCAGCCCGTTTGACATTATAATGTGTTTAATGCAGCTTTGACACATTTGTTTTTGCTTTTTGACTTTACAGAAACAAAACTTAAAACTGCATGACTCATTTGCATAAATTATAAGTGCTGAAAAAAAATCTCTTTCCTTGTGTGCTGATGCGGTTCAGCTTCTGTTGGACTAAAGGACACAACTCAGTGGAATATGAGTGTTCTCTCTGTGACAGAGGGATGTTGATGATGGTGAGTGTGTTCTGTGTGTCGAGTTGGAGATGGTTCATGTTTTCAGAGATCAGACGTGTGCAGGTTTAGCGCAGCTCTTTATTTAACATCATTTCACTTTATTTATGTTGGTCACTTTATTTTGGCTCCTGTTGTGATGAAAAGACTGAAAAGTGTTTGTCTTTTGGACGCATGTGACTCAACTTTATGTTGCAGTGACCAGGATACTGCGTTTACATGCACCATGACGAAACAGGGACACTCAAAAAACTCACACTCACTGTAAACAGACTCACTGAGCGGTACAGTGTCTCCAAGGAGCCAGAGCCCAAACGTGGGACTGTGAGGCACAACTCCAGTGTTTGTGTCAGATGCAGCCTCATCTCCTTACACTATAGTAACCTAAATTCGGTTTGTCAATTAAAAATGAACGTAATCGACAAAATTCTTAATGATCAATTATCGATTAGTCGACTAATCATGCCCATCCCTACTTGATATCAACCAACACTTGAGCAGAGACTGAAAACAGCATTTAGTTCTTGTAAACACACAAAAAAATGATCCATGTGTTTTGCAATTGTTATTTGTTCTTTAAAGCAACTTGTTAAATTGTAGAAATTGCAAAATAAGCCCAATATTTTCAATCAGCGAAGGCGCCTTGGATCCAGAAGTGACATCACACTTAACAACTCTGCTAAAAACTGTAGTATCTCACCAACACCGAGTGTGGACTGAATGAATAATGCACTGGAGAGAGCTTTGTCTTGGCGCTGTACAAATCTAATCCATTATTATTATGTCCTATTGATTCTGAATCCTGTGTGGTTGTTCCTGACCCAAACATGCAGGTTTATCTGTTAGAGCTGGAAACCTGATGGGCTGATGGGCTCGGTCGAACTCGGACAACAATTTATAACTCATGTTTGGACGGATTCAGACACATCGGCGCGATAAGACATTTGAAATATAGAATTAAAAATATGATGTAGGTAGTGAACGTGCACTTGTTGCTCCGTGTGCGTGCGCTGATGCTCCACTCATCTGTGTTGACGTTCAGAATGCCTTTTTTCAGTTGATTGATGGACTTTCCACACAAACAATATCCTACGTGTGTCATCAGGCCTTTGAAAATAGTGTGATTTTAATTGTGTCGGGCTTGGTCAGACTCGGGCACAAATATCTTAATCGGGCTTAGTTCAGATTTGACTGCTCTGTCGGATGAGGATCGGTCTCAGAGAGAAAAAAACTGGCCCGATCCGCACTTTAACGCTCTCACTCTAGTGCTTATGTGTTTGCGTATGTATGTGTGCACCTTTGGGCCCTTTGACCAGCTTGATCTCCATGAGCTTCTCGTTGAGCGCCTTCCTCCTCCGCACGTAGAGCCGGACCAGCGAGCCGGCGTCCTTCAGCGCCTCCACGGCCCGACTGTGGCTCACATCGCGCACGTCCACCTCGTTCACCCGCAGGATCACGTCGTTCACTCTGAGGACACATGGACAGGAGATCAGACTCTGGCGTCGTTCACTCCATGATGTTTTTAAGCACTGTGGTTTATAAATGATGTCTTATTTGTAATTACTAAACCTAAACACTAATCCTCACTGACACGAGAGTCACGTTTAACTCTGGTTCTGTGCTCAAAGTTCTGTCTGACTTCCTGCACATGAAGGGAACCCCACAGTCGCCCACGCTCAGGTCTCACCCAGAGCAGGTCTCTGTTGTCATAGTGAAAGTGAAACCAAGTCCACAGTGAGGAGGAAACCTGAGCCGGAGCCGTGTTTTATTCATACTCCTGCCTCACTGACCGTGACCTGCCGCCCTGCTCCTGTCACCTGCTCCTGTCGCTGTCCTGAGCCTGCCATTTGCTCCTGCCATTCTGCTCCTGCCATCCTGCTCCTGTCACCTGCTCCTGTCGCTGTCCTGAGCCTGCCGTTTTGTCCTGCTCCTGTCACCTGCTCCTGCCTCTGCCGAGCCTGCCGTTTTGTCCTGCTTCTTTCACTGCTCTGAGCCTGCCATCCTGCTCCTGCCATCCCGCTCCTGCCATCCCGCTCCTGCCATCCCGCTCCTGCCATCCCGCTCCTGTCACTGCCCTGAGCCTGCCGTCCTGCTCCTGTCCTGGTCTTCTCCTGTCACTGACCTGAACCTGCCATCCTCCTCCTGCCACCCTGCTCCTGTCACTGATTTCACCTGCCACCTTGTTCCTGTCACCTGTGCCTGTCACTGCCTTGAACCTGCCATTTATTCCTGCCCCTGTCATCCTACTCCTGCCACTGACCTGCCACCCTGCTCCTGCCTTTACCTGCCACCTTGTTCCTGTCGCCTGCTCTGAGCCTGCCGTCCAGCTCCTGTCACCTGCTCCTGTTACTGACATGAGCCTGCCACCCTGCTCCTGTCACTGACCTGACCTGCCATCCTCCTCCTGCCATCCTGCTCCTGTCACGCTCTTTACCTGCCACCTTGTTCCTGTCAAATCCTCCTATCGTTGGCCTGAGCCTGTCGTCCTTCTCCTGCCCTGCTCCTGTCACTGACCTGAGCCTGCCGTCCTGGCTGGCCGCTCCTCCGGGGATGACTTTGGTGATGAAGATACTGGGGTCGTCTCCGATGTGAGGGTTGTCTGTTCCCCCCGCGATGCTGAAGCCCAGACCCGAGTTCCCCTGAGACAAAACATCACGAGACGAAGTTAACGCTTTGACTTTATTACATTTCTGACACGCATTTATGTACAGAGAGACTCACCCGCTCCAGAGAGATCTCCTCGTACTCATAGTCTGCCTCTGTCCCGTTCACCTGCAACACAACGAGCGAAAAATGTACACGACTACTCGAGGACATGGTCACATGGTTTAAACTTTGGAGTTTCCCCAGTACCAATGCACAATATTTGCATTGTATTTCGACTATGACTGATAACCAATATTTGCAGATATCGCTATGGATTAAACTCCATGCCAAGACTCACAAATGTAAGCCAAGTTATTAAGGATGTAACGATATTCAAATCTCACGGTACGATATTTATTACAATATTTTGTAGAGGCTAAAAAAATTGAGAATATTGTAGTAGTTCGCGCCAAAACGGAGCAAAGGATCATGGTCAATGCAGTTCCCTCTGACTTTTTTAGCTGTTGCTGCACCATAATAATGAATTTAAGCAAAGAACTTGTGATTCGATATATTGTGAAGGCCACACGATATTATTGAGACTTTTGATGATACGATATCACAATATTTCGGTTACTGTTACAACTCTACAAGTTATGGTTTACTTTTCAAAGATAACATTTTTTGGGGGGGTGTACAATAATTTGTTACATGATCGTGTAAACATTCAGTCATATTTCAGCCTCATTCTAGCCTATATGTATTTTCCCTCTTGAATCTGTTCTGATGCACTGAGGACAAACTGGGACTGACACACTGCACATAGAGGGGGCAGGGCAGAAAAGATACTGGGGATAAATATCTGCAAAATTATCAATATTGAACCAGTATTATAACCGGAAAACTCTCTGATATCACTAGGACTATGCTGGAACTGCTGTGTTGTCCATCCCTAGTTTAATCTTTGCCTAAACCAGGTCTAAACCAGGATTTAAGTGTAAAACATTAAAGGGTGAACTCACATAAGGCGGTGTGTCCAGGCTCTCTGTGTTCACCACCACTGGAGGAGGGTTTGCCTGGAGAGAGAGAGAGAGAAAAAGAGTCACGTAACCAGACTGGAAAAAGACAGGACCAGAGGAGGAAAACCAGGGCCCTGAGCTTTAACATAGAAAAAAAAAAAAAAAAAAAAAGAATGAAACAGACCACAAAAACACCATCTGTGGTTAGCAAAAGTAACACCGCAACAAACTTTAAAAAGAAATAAGTAGGAACCATTTCTTGCCAAATCACACAATAAAAATCAAGTTAAACTGCCATATAATATTAAACTTATATTTTTATTAGGTCATAAAAGTAGAAATGTATCAAGTTATTGACAGGCAGAATGCTTAGGGTGACCAAACGTGCATATTTACCCAGGACAGTCTCAGTTTTGAGCCCTAGATTTATCCAAAACCATTGATTTCTCCCAGTTTTATACAAGAAATATCCCAGGCGTCTCCATTTTTGACTAATTTGAGGCATAAATGGTGATTTATTTAGTTAAAATACAGAAAAGCTGCTTAAAAATGACCAAAACACAGAAAGAAAATGTGACTATACCTGATTTTTTTCTCTTTAATTACGCACTTGTTTTACAATTTTATTATTAATACGAACCGAGAATTGTGTGTTTTAATTGTCTAACAGAGTAAAAATATATATACTGGGTGAGCATTTTATTCAATTTTTTTGTTTAATTCTGATTTCTGATCAGATTATTCAGATTATCATAAACTTTATACTTCACGCTTTGACGCATTTGGATTCTTAACTTCCGGTACAATTGTATGTTGAAAACGACAGTTTCCCTGGACATGGAGAGGACAGGTTCCATCCAGCTGACGAGTCGATGGCATTGATCAGACCTACATTCAGTCGCAGGGCCATTCACAACAATCACCGCACTACAAGTCACCGCACTACGAGTCACCATGCACTACAAGTCACCATGCTACGAGTCACCGCACTGGGTCCCTTTTGTGGTACAGCACAACAGTAAAAGCGGTCGAGATGGATGTTGACGATACAAACTAATCATTTTTTTATTGCACCTTTAATTCGCAAGTTCACCTCACAGAAACGACAATGATCGTTGACAGACATGTTCACTCTCTGCTTTGTTTGTTATTGTGTCGGCAATTACCGTATTTTCCGCATTATAGGGCGCACTCAAAAGCCTCCAACCGCATCAAAAAACGACTGCGCGCCCCACAATCCAGAGCGCCCCATACATGAATCCACTCGGGTGTCACAGCACGACTTCAGTAAACTACAAAGCCGCACCACCCGCACAGCACGCAAACACACACGGAGCAGACAGCGACCGCACAGCGACAAACACCCACAGACACACTCATCACTTCACGCCGACGAGGAACGGAACGGAGGAACGAACCGAAAAAGCGAGTGCAACGTGCCACTTCTAGACACGACTGAACAACTGAGTCACTGCGAACACGCCGACAATCCGTCCCTACACGCCACAACTGAACAAAGCCCAGAGTCACCCAACAACACACTCACCTGTTGGGTTTCGTTTAAAGTCCGGTGCGGTTTATTTGTGAAAAAAGTTCGAAAATAGACCATTTAATGACAGTGCGCCTTATAATCCAGAGCGGCCTATAGTGCAGGAAAATACAGTACTTGGACACCACAGAGCGTTCCAGCGCATTACATAGGTCACGACCAAATAGCAGCAATTGGTTAAATAAAAAAAATACCCGTCTACCGTTGAGCGAACGAATCATAATGCTGCGAGGTCATACGGTTTCCACAAAGTGAAACCGTCTGACGAATCAAGCCAACTACTTCCACCCAACATCATCAAATACTTCCAGATGTCTGTGTCTAACCCTGCACCTTTAGTCCTCCATCTGCATGTACCTGCGTGGGCACCCATGGGACCCAGGGCAGCGCCTCCCTGCGGTTGCCCACTTTGGCCGTGCTTTTGGTGGGGCACTTCTTCACCGAGTCTCTCAGCGTGAGGAAGCGACCCCGGGCGCGGCAGGGGACCGTGCACGCCGTGAAGGTGCGCAGGGTGGCGGGCGTGTGAGGGAGCGCGCGCGGGTGCGGGGGCTCCGTGTGCACGAGGGGGTGAGGGTAGGCGACATCTGGGTGCTCGTGAAAGTAGGCGTGGGCGGGATCCGGTCCGCCGGGTGCGCGAGGTGGGTCCAGAGCGTGGGGCCTGGGGCGAGGGAGGGAGCGCTCGGAGCCGGGCAGGAGGGCGGCCGCCATGTTGGATCTCATCGCATCACAACAATGTTCAAAAAGTGTAATCCACTCGGTCTCCTAAAATGACGAGTTACAGGAGCTACAAGAGTTTAAACCAGGACTAAACCAGGACTAAAACTTGACTAAAACCAGGACTTCCACATTTCTAAAGCAGAAGACAAAACTTAGGACTAAACCAGGACTAATCCAGGACTAAAACCAGGACTAAAACCAGGACATCCACAGTTCTAAAGCAGAAGACAAAACTTTGGACTAAAACTTGACTAAACCAGGACTAAAACCAGGACTAAATTTGACTAAAACCAGGACTTCCACAGTTCTATAGCAGAAGACAAAACTTAAGACTAAACCAGGGCTAAAACTGGACTAAAACTTAGGACTAAAAACAGAAAACCAGGAACTAGGACTAATTTCAAGACTAAGCAAGAAGTCATTGAGTATTAAACCAGGTCTAAAACAGGATTTAAGAAGGCCTAAGCCAGGACTAAAATAGGACTAAAACCAGGACTTCCACAGTTCTAAAGCAGAAGACAAATCGTAGGACTAAGCCAGGACTAAGCCAGGACTAAGCCAGGACTAAGCCAGGACTAAGCCTTGACTAAACCAGGACTTCCACAGTTCTAAAGCAGAAGACAAAACAGGACTAAACCAAAACTGAACAAGGACTACAACAAGAATTTAGCCAGAACTAATGTGCGATTACAACAAGCGTGAACCAGGGCAATTTCAAGACTAAGCAAGAAGTCTAGTCTAGTATTAAACCAGGTCTAAAACAGGACTTAAGAAGGCCTAAGCCAGGACTAAAATAGGACTAAGCTCGGACTTAATCAGAACTGAAAAAGGAATCAACTAGGAGTGACCAGGACTAAACTGGGATTAACCAAGACGATCCTGAATCAGGCCTAAACCAGAACTGAACCAGGACTAAACCAGCGCCAAACAAGAACAAGCAGAACTCCGGGTTGCAGAAGTTAACTGGTGCCCAATGAGAATTCCCACGATACTGTCCGAAATTCCAAAACAGGACTCTAATAAAAGCAGATCCGTGATTATTCCAGAGCATCGTCCAGTCGTGGAGTAAAATAATCCAGTTTACAATCCCGAGTTACAGAGGAGCAGGTGGATCTAAATCCGATAGTCCCGGTTTGTGAGGGAGGTCTGAGGGGAGCGGGACGGGACCGGACGGGAGGGGCTCCGAGGGGGGCGGTGGGCAGGGCCATGTGAGAGCGTGAGGAGGTGGGGTCGGGGGGTGCAGGGTGATCCGGGTCCATCAATAATGAACGGGCAGACAGCAGCGACAGAGGGTGGAGCCGGGAGTCAGGCAGGTCAATAAACGACAAACAACAGTGTGAAAAAATACATATATGAGGGGAAAATGACATTACAAATTAGGCCAAAAAGTGAAAGAAGCTTGTAGGATTGTCAAACTTATCGAAAATGAGACACTAAACAATAACAAAACTAGTATCAAAACTGAACAAGTACTATGATACTAAAAACAGGGTTCTCACTTTTTTCAATGACAAAATTTCAAACATTTACTGTGAGTTTTCATGACCTAAAGTGAATTTTCCATGACTTTAACTAGAATTGATCAGACTTTTAGGGCTAAATATGAAATGTTAACCCCTTCCACCCACTTTATGGTTTGGGATTATAGTTTTTTAACATTTCAAAATCCTGTCAGTGCATTTATTGTCGTCTCTTTTAAACAAAAGATGCAAACGTTCGGAAATAATCATAATGGCCTCATGAGAACTAAACAGAACGCTGTAGTTGTGTGAAAGACATACTAAAATTCTATGACTTTTCCAGGCCTGGAAAATGATTTTCAATTTCCATGAATAAGACTTTTCTGTATAGATTGTGTCAAACTCACATTCACAGAGGCCAAAACAAAAAACTGGGACTAAGTTGTGGGCCAAACTAAATATTTATTGAAAATTTAGAAAAAAACAACATCTGCATGTTTTCTCTTCTTTCGAAATATGTAACGTTAAACTTTTTCTTATTAAAATATATGTTTAATAATAGTTTTGCTTAAACATTGAATCCAGAACAAGCATAATGTAAAATAATAACATTTTAAATATATAATGTCTCTATAGCCTATCTGTAGCTTTTGAACTCCTTTTAAATGTTTTTGTTTTTTCCCCCCATAAGCTAACAACCAACTAATACATGTTTGATATGATCTCACGGGCCAAATATAATTATATCATGGGCCGAATTTGGCCCCCGGGCCTGAGTCTCACATCACCACCAGAACGATTTTGAGTAAGTAAGAAAACAGACTCGTACACGCCCATGGACTATGATAGAAGTACAACCATTTAATGCTGAAAACCACTAGTGTCATAATTTGTTTGTTTGTTTTTTTATCATTATCGTGGTATCAGAACCATTATTGGGTATTGAAGTTATTCCTTAGTATTGAAATCAAGTTTGAAATTTTAGTAGCATGACAACACCATTAAAATACTATGTTGTGGATGAGTTGGTGAGGAGAGCAGGATTTGTAGTGAACCAGAGCTTGACTCATTCACATCTGTGGCTGAGAAGAGGCTCCTAAACAAACTCCTGTCAATCCTGGAGAACCCCCAGCCTCCCCAGAGCACAGTCACCACACAGAGAGCATCTTTAGGGTCAGGATGTTGTCCCTGTCCTGCTCCATGGATTGTTGCTGTTATTATGTTATTATCATCTACTGTATGTATGTATGTATGTATTTTGCTGCCTGAAATGTACTTCCTTTGGGATAATAAGGTTTTTCTAATCTAATCTAACTCTAGTGTGGTGTGTG